TTTCAATCATCTAATATATTTTATATACTGTGTTTAGTTGATTTCCAGTGAAATGCTCTTTAGATTATCTGAATCAACATGTTTTTTTCCCTTGCATTGGAAATAATACTACCATGTGCTTCTCCAATCATCTACATATATTTTACATACTGTCTTTAATTGATTTCCAGTGAAATGCTCTTTAGATTATCTGAATCAACATGGCTTTTTTCCTCGCATTGAGACTGGGATCCTTTTAAATCATGTTTTGAAAATTTTCTTCACTGTTAGGTTTGGTAGGCTGCTGAAGGGGTTGAAAGAAAAGAAATTTGTAGTAAATTTCATTTGAATAAACTAATGCTTACTAATACAGTGCCCACATGTTCTTCTTTTTGTGATGTTCATGTGTTTTGTCATTTATATAGTGGTTGTTTCTCTTTTTTTAAAAGATTTTAAAAAAATAATTATACATTAAGATCTGAGATATGTGTGTAGAACATGCAGGTTTGTTACATAGGTATGCACTTGCTATGGTGGTTTGTTGTACCCATCAACCTTAGGTCATCTATCTTAGTTATTTCTCCTAATGCAATCCCTCCCCTAGTCCTCCACCTCTTGACAGGCCCCTGGTGTGTGATGGTCCCCTCCTTGTGTACATGTCTTCTCATTGTTCAACTCTCACTTACAAGTGAGAACACACAGTGTTTGGTTTTCTATTCCTGTGTTGCTTTGCTGAGAATGATGGTTTCCAGCTTCATCCATGTCCCTGCAATGAACATGAACTCATTCTTTTTTTATGGCTGCATAGTATTCCATGGTGTATATGTGCCAGATTTTCTTTATCCAGTCCATCATTGTTGGGCATTTGGGTTGTTTCCAAGTCTTTGCTATTGTGAACAGTGCTGCAATAAACATATGTGTGCATGGGTCTTTAGAGCAGAATGATTTATAATCCTTTGGGTATATACTCAGTAATGGGCTTGCTGGGTCAAATGGTATTTCTAGTTCTAGATCCTGAGGAATCACCACACTGTCTTCCACAATGGTTGAACTAATTTACACTCTCACCAACAGTGTAAAAGTGTTCCTGTTTCTCCACATCCTCTCCAGCATCTGTTGTTTCCTGACTTTTCAATGACTGCCATTCTAACTGGTGTGAGATGGTATCTCATTGTGGTTTTGATTTGCATTTCTCTAATGACCAGTGATGATGAGCTTTTTTTCATGTTTGTTGGTTTCCAAAAGAAAGATCAAAAGAAGTAAGAATCACAACCAGCTTTAAAATTTTTTATACCATTATATTCACATTATAATATTAAGGCAAAACATACTTATTTCATTGTCCTTTAGGGAGCAGTATTTCTTAAAGTGGGGTCAGGAACTGTGCATCAGAATCACTTGGGATGTTCATCAATATTCGTATTCCTTGGCCCCTTCATTTTGGAAGGTTGTATGGGGTGAAGGAATCTGCATTTTAACACACTTGCCAGATAATTCTACACATTGAAGCTTGAGAACCTCTGCTTTAGGGAAATATTATCTTAAGTCTCTTCACAGCAGTGCTGCAATGACATGCATTAAGACTTGGTAGATACCATTGGACATTGGTTTAGGCTATTCCCACACTGCTCTAAAGAAATACTTGAGACTGGATAATTTATAAAGAAAAGTGGTTTAATAGCTCACAGTTCTTCAGGCTATACAGGAAGCATGGTTGGGGAGGCCTCAGGAAATTTACAATCATGGCGGAAAGTGAAGGGGTAGCAGGCACATTTTACACGGCTGGAGCAGGAGAAAGAGAGAGAATGGGAAGTTGCTACACACTTTTGAACAATCAGATGTTCTGAAAACTCATTTGCTATCATAAGCAAGGGGAAATTCTGCTGCCGTGATTCAGTTACCTCCCACCAAGCCTCTCCTCCAACACTGGGAATTACAATTCAACATGAGATTTGGGTGGTGACACAAATCCAAACTGTATCAGATATTTTGTCTCAGTTGGTGTGTCGTTGGACCTGTTTTGTTCTTAAGAAATTACAAAGTAATCTGGGTGTTTTTTCTTAATAAAATTTACTTCAAAATTATATAGCCTTCTTAAAAAAATAGAGATTCTTTGTGTCAAGATTCTTTTTTAAACTTGGCATTATTGACTTCATATTAGACAGTAAGCTATTATAAGTTTATTAATTTATGTGTTCCTTTTACCCAGATGAATTGCTTACAGACTAACATTTATGAAAGGTTAGTATTTCTTAAGTTTTAGAAAGCTAAAAAGGGATGGCTGGAAATGGCAAATTTTGCCCCTTTCTGCTGTTGTTAGAATGGTATAACATGACTTACACAACTTAAGCCATTTGTTTTTATTTAGTGCCTATTTTTATACTTTGGTGACATATTGTAAGTAGTTCTTGTGGCTTTCGGGGGGAAATCATGACTCTCTAGCCTCTTGTTCTCTGCTGTTTGGTAGTGTTGAGCCACTTTGCACAGATTACCGGGCTGAGAACAGTGTGTGTTATCATTGTAATAAGGAACCCATGGTTATTGTCTGTGGTGCAGAATGGCAGTGACCACATTCCCATGAGTAAAGAACAAGGAACATAGTCCAACAAGCACACAGCAATGAGTAAATAAGACTGTTTGGAATTAGTCCTGATAGGAAAAAGTGGTACTCTTTGGAGCCTAAATGCTCTCAGGACAATCTAAAGTTGTTACTCAGGCTGGAGAGCCTCTCTTAACATCTTTCAATTTCAGTTTGGCAGTGATGGGAAAAACTCCTTTATTATAGTCAATACTGAGTCATTTGTAGGTAACGACTTCCACATATTACTGTTTTGACTTGTTCTTTAATCCCTTAGGTTGAGTCAGAGGTGTCTTTTTTTGGGGGGGGGGCGGGTATAATGTGACAATAATTTGGGTTTGAAACAAAAGCATCTGAAGTATGATTGATCAAATGGTGATTATTAATTCATAAATGCCTTGGTCAGATGTCTAATATGGACTTTATTAGGAGTCTAAATGGCTTTGACATAGATGTCTCTGCATTTTATTTGCACAAGTGGAGAATGAACTGGCCATTCCAAGGAGCCATGTACTAGCCATGACTGGCATCTAAAAGAAGGGGTTCCTCTGCATCACTTCACAGAATTCTTGTAAATATTAAGTGAGATAAAACATCTTTCCTGGATGAAGGAAGGGATCTAGAAGAAAGGTAAAGAGGAGCTCTGTTCCCTGCCTTGCCCCATTTATTTTATCCTTTTCTGTTTATTTCAGCACAAATAAGTTGAGCTGCTCTGTTCTGGGCATTGTACTAGCAATGAGTATGCAGAAAAAAAAATAAGATTTAGCTCTTAATCAAAAGGTTCAGCTTAATTAAGATATAATAAATATTACATACAATTTACCCATTTAATGTGTACAACTCAAAGGTTTTTAATATATTCAGATTTTTCACAATATTTAACTTAGTTCAAGACTTGTGAACATTTTTTTACTTCACAATTCCTCAGGTTCAGAATGAAGAAAAATCTCTTTGGTCCCATTCCTAGATCTTCTCCTTCCTTCAGGAAAATAGTACCTATCAGTTATTAAACATCATTTCAGTATTGTGAGCCCAGCACTGTGCCTACGTGTTTTACAAATGTTATCTCATTATGTGCTTTCTATAACCCTGAAAATACATTTTATCCCATCTTATATACATGGCAATAATCCTAAATACCTAGCATTTGTAGAGTATAATTATTATGCCATTTAATATATGTAGAAATTTACTGCTCTAGATATTATTTTCCTTTTCTCCCCTTTTCCTATTAGTTATTAACTGTGTAACTTTTTCTTCATGCTTGTCCTCTAGTTCTTGACTCTTTCTGGGCTTCCTTGTGAAGGAAAGAGATAGAAGAGCAATTAGGATTTTCAGGAGTCTGTTGATGATCACAAAGACTGGCTGATTTACCTTACGCACTTAAAAAAAAATAAATATAGGGGAGAGAATACCCTTGCACAAACAGATAAAAGGTGAATGCAAGGCTGCTGAAGGGCTATTTCCAAATAATAGCTATGTCCAACCCTCAGTTCCAATTTAGAGCCAAATAAAAATATTTTATTTCTATAAATTTTAGGGGTTTATTTTTTACCTACGATTTGCTTTTCCTTTTCAGCTGATTCATCTAACCCTTTTAGCAGTTAGCTAACTTCTCTATACTATGAAGTAATTCCTGCACAAATATTTCTGTAATAAGCCTGTCCTTTTTTTTTTTTTTAAATTACTTCTTATCTGAGGATAAACTTGTCCTTTTGTTAAAAAAAAAAAAGACATTTTTAAATGCCACATGAAAAATGTGCTGAAGTATCAGTGGTAAGGGTAAGGAATATAAACAGACTTCTGTAACTTTGGACAGATATATAGCTGGAAAATCCAAAACGAAAAGTTTTCTCTCAACCCCAGCACACAAAAAATTCAGGTTGGCTAACTTTCTGGCACTGATTTAGATAATTTGTATATTTTCTGGTGAACAATTAACATTGGCTACTGAAGCTAACTTTTCTACTGGTTCTAAACTAAAGGATAGCGTTTTTGCGATGTACGTCTTTTAATGCTATGGGAAGAGTGTTGCTAATAAAAGTGCCCAATTAAAAGAAAAACTTTACCAATCCTAATAATTAGTCATAGAATCTGAACTAATTTAAATGAAAGGTCTAAATGAGTAAGGAGTTGAAATGTTTGCTTTTGAACACATACTGCTTTATATTTCAAAAACTAAACAATTTTAATCTCCAACTTCACAGTTCCTTTGACAATTGCTTCTTTAATGTTTTGTTTAATTATAATTTGTTTGATCAGTATTGTTTCATCAGAATTATATTTTTTATTTGCCCTACTAAGTTACTTATATTTTATTTTAATTAATATGTTTTATTTGTCTACTAAGCATCATATACTGTTATGAGTTTGGGATTTTTTTCTTCAGTAGCATGCAAAGAAACTTATATTCTAATGGTTTCATTTTATTTTATTTTCCTAGGAATCAGAGAATAATAAGTTATGTTCCCTATATTCCTTCCGAAATACCTCTACCTCACCACATAAGCCTGACGAAGGGAGTCGGGACCGCGAGATAATGACCAGTGTTACTTTTGGAACCCCAGAACGCCGCAAAGGTAGTCTTGCTGATGTGGTGGACACACTGAAACAGAAGAAGCTTGAGGAAATGACTCGGACTGAACAAGAGGGTATGTGTGGACTTCACTGTTGGGCTTTTTTTTTTTTTTTCCTAAAGATTCTAGGCCTTTAAAAAAAAAAGAGTGGGATTTCAAGGGCTGGAGAAGTGCATAATTGGCACCAGCTAGGAAAAAGTTATTCAGAGGTTACCATGGTGATGGCAGATTGTGATCCATTAGGAGTGTTAAACAGATAGCTTCATTTTTCTAAAACTTTATGTATTTTATTTGGTTCTTAAGATAACAAATTAAGGTTTTAAACTTAACATAATCCTTACTCTGGAAAAAGGTAGTAAGGGATTTTTCCTAATTGCAATTTTATTTTTCATTTTTTCTTCCTTATTTCCTTTTGGTGGATAGTATTTCTTTATAAAAATATCAACTGTTTAAAAAACAAAATTAGGGTGGGTGCGGTGGCTCATACCTGTAATCCCAGCATTTTGGGAGGCTGAGGCAGGCAGATCACCTGAGGTCAGGAGTTCAAGACCAGCTTGGCCAACATGATGAAACCTCGTCTCTACTAAAAATACAAAAATGAGCCTGGCATGCTGGCAGGTGCCTGTAGTCCCAGCTGCTCGGGAGTCTGAGGGAGGACAATCACTTGAACCCAGGAGGTGGAGGTTGTAGTGAGCTGAGATCATGTCACTGCACTCCAGCCTGGGCAACAGAGTCAAACAAACAAACAAACAAACAAAAACAAACAACAAAATTAAAAAGATTTATTTCTCTTTATTTTTATAAATATATTATTTTATTTCCTAACGTTGTAAAATGGAGAGTTGAGGGCTTCAAATATTGTTAAAGCTAAAGGCGTAAGAGTGACTTCTTTGTTACATGACATCTCTTGGAACATCCCACATCTACCTTCTCTACTCTGTACAATAATTCACTCGGGTTCACCTACGTCTCAGAAAACAGAAATAATAATAATAAAAAAGACTCTGCAATAATATTTTTAAACAAAATGAATCAAGTCTAAGTGATGGCTATACTATGTTGCACTTTCATTTTTATGTACAGATTTTAGACCTGAAAATATAGAGTAATTAATAGCTCTGGATATATTACTAGCATTGCAAGTTAAATTGAGAGTTTCGTGACATTATAGACAAATTGGGATTTGATATTAGGGAATTTTTTCATGTAACAATTTTATCCTTTTAAGGACTAAAAAGCTTAAAAGATTCCAATTAATTTTTGTAGAAGTCTTTCTAAAATATATCGCATGCTTCCCTGTTTGACTAATCAGATTATATGGCACAAAATGTATATATGTTTTGATGACCCAGGGTCATAATACAGTAGACTAGGAACCTCAGTACCTTTCAAACAATTATGTGGCCCTGGGTCAATTCTTCAATCTATTTAAGCCACAAAATTTAAAATTTGGTAACTAACTTGGCAACTTAAACATTTTGAGAATTAATTATAATAATGAATGTTTTCAATTAACTGTAAACTATATAAATATTAACTATAAACTCTATAAATTTGACTTATTGTATATATTATATTGTATATAACTGATATATTATAAATGTCAATTATTTTATTGTGCTATAATATAATGATGCCCTTAGAAATCATTGAGATTAGTAGGAGTTTTATGGTTATTTTTCTTTGCAATTATGAAACTTTAGAGTTCTTGTGTCTGCTCGAGATATATACATATGTATGTGTATTTGTATATATGTATATATTTTTTGGTGCATGTGTTGGTTTCTCCTTCAATATCAGGTTGCTGGCTATTATTTCTTGCTTAGTTGTAAATAATTTCTAATTTTCTCCTATTTAGAGATTATAAAATTAAGTAATCAGGACATTCTAGACTGTATTTGAAATATGAACAAGTATATTCTGGAGGTGTTGCTGAGAGATTCTGGGAAATACATATGGTCTTCAGTGCATGAACTACATGTTGACACTTTTGGCTTGTGAGACTTTGTTTTCCGTATTCTTGGCTGTGTTCTGAATAATGGGGATTGCCAGATAATTATATACTGAATTAGTGAGATTGCTAGATGACTTTTAATTGTGATCCACCAAAAGATGGTTTTAGTTTTATAAGTAAGTGGTTTTCAAATACTTTGGAGGGTTCTTTAATGTAAAAATAAAGACACTGATTGGTGATGATTTTTTTTTCTGGACTACTAGGGAATTTAAAATAATTTTTTCCTTGCAAATAATGGTTAATTTTCCGTTCATTCTCTTTGTTACCATATGTTACAGTTGATTTTTGTACGAGAGACACAAAGTGAGATAGTAGTCCTTTAAGAGTTCTTTATTACTGTATTTCTACTAGTAATGAATTTTTTCATATTCTATAGATCTTTTTTTTGGCAATATATATGTTTTAGACATCAGAAATTCAGGTATCTTTAGTATATATTAATGTTCATAATCTAAATATATTAAGTGCAAATGAAATGACTGAAAGCATGCTATCAAATTTACCAGTCTCACAAATCTGGAACAGTGAATGTAATGGATGAGGGAAACAAAACTCAAAACGTTTTTGAGAAACCAAAATTATGAACTTAAAAATAACCTGTCACGATAAAATTTAATAGATCTTATTATCAAGTTCAGAAGCTGTGACCCAAATCCCAGCTGCACAAGTAATTACTGAAGAAAATTCAAATAACAGCCAGATGAATGATAAAACAAAACAAAACAAACAAACAAAAAAACCTTATGAGTGTTAAGTGACAGAAAATGCAATGGGATCAGCATGATGAATATTGCCACCATATTTCCAGTGCTATTTTATTCAGCATCACTAGAAGTACATTATGATGCATTCAAGAGGTGGTAGTACCACTAAACTCCCTGCTCAATAGAATGTTTCTGAATTATTGTGTTGAGTTCAGAATTACCACACTTTAAGAGGAACTCAAAGGCATTGGGATATTCTCAGAGAACAATTGGAATAATCACAGAGATGAAATTATATAATAAGGAGAATGGTTGAAGGAATAAGTAATACTGATCCCAGAGAAAAGCAAATCAAAGATGATATGATGGTGTCTTTAAAGAGTAAAGTCACTTGGAGGAGGGATTGGGTTTATACTGTCTAGCTTCCTGGGGATAGAATACAGATCAGTGAAAAGAAGTTAAGAGGAACCTGATTATGGTTGATAAGACCAACTAGCTAACAGTTGTAGCTGTCTATATGAAATATTCTTCTTTGGAAGACAGTAACTTGTCTATCCCTGGAGATATGCGGCAATCTCTATTGTCATTTTAATAGAGGTGTCGTAGAGGACAGAAGTTTGATCTTTTTTTTCAACACCAATATTATGAATTTTTATGAACATTCTTATAAAAGATTCTACAGTTTATGGTATACCTTTTTTACAGCATTTTTCAAGGACTACATAGTATTGTGATTATTTTTCTACATATTCTTCTGTGAAATGCATTGTATTAAAACTCAAGGATTCTTAATTTTTCTTTCCATGAATCCCTTTGATAGTCTAGTAAAGCCCACAGATCTTTTCTTAAAATTATTTTAAATTTGTAAGGTAAAATATAGAGATTACAGATACAATGAATTATATTAAACAGTAAATCATTTAAAACATTTGTGATATGGTAGAATATGCTATTCTACTAATGCATTAAAAACAAGATCTTATAGAGGGCCTAACAGTATAATAATTTTTAAGCAGTGATAAACATAAAAGATATTTCGCGATACCTCCAAGTATAATGTTATATAAAAATATCAATTGTGGTACTATTGGTAACAATGTAATAGGAACTACAAATACAGTATGGTTTGTTACTTGCACCTATAATTTAAGGAAATGCAAATTTTCAATACAGGTTAGTGAAAAATAATTTGTCCATAAAAGTTTAGAGATCCCCTGAATTCTATTTATGTAACCAGTTAAGAACTATGTTAGATGATGTGATACATCCATAATGAATAAAACAATGGTCTCTAACTTTTAATAATTGATATTCTAGTAAGAGATATAAGGCATATAAAATGAACTCTAATTCAGTGTCTAGTATATGATAAATTCCATAGAGCTATAAAGATATAATGTTATGGGAATTTACTAGATAGAAAAATTACTTCTCCTTGGAAGCCATTGGAAGATTCTATAGGGAAATGGGTCTTAGATGGAGAATGAAAGGATTTATATAGACAGAAATTGAGAGGAGAGACATTTCAGGCAGAAAGAATAGGCAGAGAACATTAAAACAGCCAACAGTTCAGGATCTAAACTTAAAGAAAAGATGTATATAGGATATAAGACTGAAAAAGTAGGTTGTTTTCAGATCATGGAGGCCCTTTCACTCTTGTCTAAGGAGTTTGAACTTTATATTGAAGGTGATGGAGGAACCACTAACTGTTTTTTAGCACAGTAAGGTGATGAATTAGAGCTTTCCTTCAGGAAAGTTAATCCGGCCACACTGTTTAGGATGAATGGGAACAGGGAGAGATGTTAAGGAAATTGTTTCAGGCTAGAGATAATGAGGGTCTGCTGAACTAAGGCGTCAGAAATGAGGAAGGAAGGGGGATGCATATGGAAAAGGTATGAGATAGAATTGTTAAGACTTGATGTTTAAGGGTAGAGACCAAGACAGAGGAATGGTTCAACTAGTGCTCAGAGATTTTAAACTCAGGGCAAACAGGAATATGGTAATACAATTTTTAAAAAGTGGAAGAACATGTTTTGGTCATGGGAACAATGAGAAGTTTTTTATTTTGAGTTTGGTATCTTGGGTTTGAATCCTAATTTTGATTATCTACTTAGAGCAATAGTATAGAATGGCATAATGGGAGAACAGAAGTAATTATAGACAGGATTATTAAAAAGTTTAGGATAGATTTTTGATTCTCAAATAATTATATACTAGGTCTAAGAAGATATAACAGCTCCACCAATATTTCCATGGCATTGATCCTTTAAAGTTCCAGGTCCATCTCCTCATTTGGGACATATTTTCTCATCGGACACCTAAAAGCTTTCAAATGCATTACCCACCTCTCCCTCACA